TAAATATATTCCCCTGAAAAATGTCTGTTATAAAATATTATATATGAATATTGTTTTTTCTTTAACTGAGTTAGATTTTTCAACCAACCACCAAACGAACTATCGAACTATCCATCCATCCATCATCTCTACTCCTTAATCCTCACTGGGGTCATGGGGGGCTGGAGTCTATCCCAGCTGACTCAGGGTGAAGGCAGGTTCACCTGGACAGGTAACCAGTCTATCACAGGGCTACACTTAGAGACAGACAACCAAGCACACTCACATTCACACCTACGGACAATTTACAATCACCAATTAACGGTGCTAACCACTGATCCACCTTGCAGCCCCCAAACGAACTAGACCTACCAAATATTATTATTTTATATTACCAAATTATTATTTTCAGAATTTATAGCAGTAGTTTGACTACTTGGTGATTTTATTATCACATGAACTGTGATAACAGATTAAAAGAGAAAAACGATTTCCCCAGAGACTGCATGAGGGTCAATTAATAACAGACTGAATAAATAAAATCCTCAGATTCAGATCAACGTTAGACAATGTTTATGTCACGTAGGAGGAATAAATCACGTCTTCTTTTACTTCCACTGTGATTAAAAACAATATTTGTTATTTTGCGTGCTAGTTTTATGAACCAGTCGAGGCCTGAATGATGTGCAAATAAATAAACAAATCAGACTGTGATTATTTCTGACAGATATTGGAGCATATTGCAGTTGTACAGTATACATTTGGTTTTAAGTCATCATATCATATCAAATGCTTTTGGTTTCAGTATGAAAAGTTCGATATATCATTAAATATACAGATTTCCACTAAACAGACGTGCAGTAGAGCGGTCCGTCCACAGAGGGGCGTCGCTGAGCTGCGTCCCGGCGTGGCTGATGCCCAGCAGCTCGGTTCGGCCGCCCGTCAGTGGAAACTGTAAATAATACATGCTAAGCCCTGCAGATCAGAACAACACCAGCAGCTGGCCTGCATGTGTGCTGCTGCTGCTGCATCTCTTGATCCTTTTATCTCCAGAGAGGAGGAGCAGCAGAGAACTCAGCAGCGTGACTCAGATGGAAACGCTGATCTGATGAAGACAAACACAAAACACTGGAGCTTAAAACGAGCATAAAGGCTATTTTAGCAGGTGCTGCTCCACCGTCACGTCACGGAGAAACTTCATGCCGTGCTTCCTTAATGCCGCCACCTCAGGCCGAGTTTAAAAATGAGACGAAGCCGACTGACGAGGTCACAAACATTCAACCGTCTAAACCAGACTCTACTAATGAATGTGTTTTAATGTGGCTGATATTGTTTAGTGTGATTTCTACCACACAGATGAACACAACATATCCATAAAAATTAATGACTGCAAATTTGTCACTGCACAGTGTCTCGGTGGTTAGCGCATTGGCCTCGCAGCTAGAAGGTCATCGGTTCGCGTCCCGGTGAGGACACCCGGGATCTCTCTGCGTGGAGTCTCCATGTTCTCCCCGTGCAGTGTGGGTTCTCTCCGGGATTAAGGTGTAGAGATGATGGATGGATTTTCCCGTTTATATTTATTTGTTTTCCCATTTATATTGTTGTTGTTGTTGTTGTTGTTGTTGTTGTGTGATAAAACACAGAATCAAACAGTGAGAATGACACCAGCGTCTCTCTTAAAACTCTCTGTCAAGACTTCCACCGTGTCCTCATCACAGGAGTTGTGAAGTTCTCCCTCCTCTTTTGAAATCTGCTTCTCCGTCGTCACAACACCTGCAACAGGAAACTGAACCATGAGGCAACTAAATATTGAACAGCAGCAGTGAGAACATCCCGTAAACGCTGTTTGAAAATTCAGGCCACAGAGTAGAAACCCACGGCTCCACATGGAGAAGACCTGAACAGAGGAGGAGAAACATCTGACTGGGAGACTGGACAAAGATGGAAAAGGATCCAGAAGATCAGTGAGCAGCTAGAACCCAGTGCAGCCCAGTGTGAGCAGGAACCAGGAGGTCCAGAAGGAGCCACAGCAGCACTGATCAGGGCTGCAGTGGTCGTCCTCCTACAACGACTCCACGGACAGTCAACTACTGTCACTATGGAGCTGTGGACACCAGACAAAGGCAGCTGCTTCAGACTTGGCACAGGGCTGATCAATGGAGACCAGAGTTAGTGTGAAGCTCACACAGTGTGAAGGACACTTCAGAACATCAGCCTCTATGGACGGAGGAGCAGAACTAAACCTGGCTGCTGCTCACAGCTAAACTTCCACATCAAAGTTCACCAGAGAACATGAACAGAAGCCTGATGGATGCTGGAGAACATCCTCTGGTCAGATGGAGATCAATGTGTTGGGCTCACATGGAGTCCAGATGTTTGGTGTGAACCTGACCAGGACCACCACAGTGGATGCATGGTCCTGACAGTGAAGCACGGAGGTGGCAGCATCATGATGTGGGGCTGCATGAGGGCAGAAGGTGTTGATGACGTTTATAGATGCTCCATAAAGTCTAAACTGGTAATTTGTAATCTGACCTCAGAGCAAATACTCTACTGTTCAACTTAGAAGTAATCTGATTACTGTGAGATGATACAAATTTGAATTGTTTGACATTTAGGAGTTTGGGAGTGTGATGATGTGGGGCTGCATGAGGTGTCGATGACGTTTATAGATGAATGTCTGAGGATGAACCAGAATACTGGCTGACCAGATGAAGAAGAGGAACATTCCAGCAGGAGAACCATCCAGAGAACAACACCATCAAGAGCTTCTACAGAACATCGAGGAACACTGACTTGGTTGCATTGGGTTTCTTCTGTAGGGCTTCTTAATATAGGAAACGCTAGCTGTTGTATCATCGCTCCTCAACAAACAACAGTCTCTAGTGTCGGAGAAACGTTTTCCTTTAACTGAAACCGTCCCCGTGTAGCCAAAGACCCTCCTTATATAATGTGACGGCGTCCGTCCACAGATCCGTCCCGAGTGCGAGCTGACGTGTTGACGTGAAACCACCGTCTGCCGTGTGTACACAGCGTCCACATTTTAAACATGTGTGCGTCTCACACCTTGTGAATGAACCCGACCGGGTCTTGGCAGCGAGTCAGCAGAAGTGATGAAGGTTGTGTTTTGGTGGCCGGGCGGTGCAGCCGGTTGTCACAGCAGGGGCCGCTGGAGCCTATAGGGGCAGCACAAACACGGCTGGTGTCAGTAACCCGAGCGCCGGCGGCTTGTTGTGATAGCAGCCGCTGTTTGCGTTACATAACCGGCAGCCACCGGTGGCAATAATAGTTCAATAGCACGTAGTAGCAGAGAATCTGACTGAGTGGACGGAAAGAGGAGGAGGGTGTCGAAGCCATAGGAGGCCTGACCTACAGCCGGCCAGGAAGCAGAGCTGCACGTAGACGCAGAAGCAAAAGGAAGGCTTCAGCTGTTCCTCGTGTCAGTCTGCAGCCATCGTATGGAAACACATCACCAGAGTCACAATAAACGCTGACAAGGAGATCGTCTCTAAAGAGCAGGGAGGGTTTGTCGTAAAGAGGGAGAGTTACGAGTCAGATACAAAGAAAAGTATTGTAATGAGAACTCGTAGAAATGTTTACAGCGTGCAGCAATGTGCAGCCGGTGATGTAAACAATGTGTAGAGCATATCGATAATCCTGCTTAAGAAGCTGTGAGGTAACTTCAGACGCCGAGTCCATGTCGCTGGTGGAGGAAAAAACAAAACAAGAGAAGCTGTAGAACAAAGAGTGAACACGTATGGAAGCCTGTTTCCACCAGCGAGAAACTATAAGAAGTCCTGATTATGAGATCAAAGAGTCATAAACATAACTTAGAAACTGAGGGATGCTGTGATTTTCAAATATTTCTAAATAATTAGATTTTATCTGATTTAATTGTGCGGTCACACGTAAAAGAACAAAATAATATTTGTAGAAATACAGATTTTTGATAGACGTTGTCTGTGTGGCATTTATAGTCAACATGTACATTAATACTTAAATATATAAAAATATATATATATTTACCATTTGTCAAACCGTAATTGAAAAACTTTTCAAATGTATGTAAAACAACGATATTTTAGTTGATTTTAATAAAGTAAAACTGTAATTTCATGTTTAAACATTGAAAAAAAAAATGCTGTTTATAAAGACGTAGATTTTTTTATGTGGACGTTTATAATCTAACAGTAAACGTGTAAATTTATATTTTGTTTTTCTGTGATTCTGCTCAATATTTTCTGTATTTAACATCAATAACAACAGTTTAAAAACTGAACTCATCCATAAAATACATCAGCAGATATCTGTAAAATAGTTGTTGTTGTTTTTCTGATTTAAATACAGTAACTATAGCTTAATTTCATGGTTTGTTTGTTTTTTAAATTGTGTTTATAAAAATATAGATGTTTTATGTTTACATTTAGGGTTTGGGCTTTTTTTTTGCTTTTTTTTTTTTTACAGTAGATATTTAAATTTATTTGACGGGACTTTATTTTCATATATGTTTATATTTTGTATAATATATATTTTTTCTGACTTTATATTTGCTGCAGATTTCCTCGTTATTACCTGTAATTGACCAAAACAGGGGAAAGTTGTGAAACAATCAGTGTGAAGGAGGAGATCCGGTGTCACTGAGGGTCAAACCGTCTCCAGACGTTCCTGAAGGCCGGCAGGAGGAGGAGGAGGCCGGTGCTCCTGGACCACTAATCCCAGTCAGGTTCAGGATCAGGGCTGCAGCTCGTTGGCCGATTCCTCACATTCCTGCATAGCTGCTGATTAAAGGAGGAATCCTGCGCCGTGGGGGTGACAAAGAGCCACGGACAGGGTGACAGCTGAGCAGAGGGGAGGCCGGACAGCGACGGGTTAACGGACTGGAAACGCTGGGATGTGACCAGGAGGAGGGTTCACATACCTCCTCGTTGTATTTGCCAACAGAGCAGAGGGGAGGCGGAGAGTCGCTGGCAGCTCGGTAGGAAAACACTCAGTCCGACCCGAGTGCGTGAAGCTGCTGCATCGAGCTCCGAGCACCACATCAGAACCACAGAACCTGGACCAGCTCAGAGAGGCTGAGGGTTAGATGCTGAAGACAAACTGAGATCATCCAAACAGAAGCAACATGACTGTAAGTATCACACAGAGACTCAACTTTGCACAGGTCCAAAAAAAAAAGTACAAAAAAACCTGCAAAGTTTCCTGCAAAACAAGAATCCACACAAACAGCGAGTTAATGAGGTTTACTGGTCCATACCTGAACTACGTTTTGCAATAATTTACTGTATTTATAACCAGCCTTGAAATAAATTACAGCATTTTTTCTCTTTTAAAATGTAAAAACCGCTCCCAGGGAACAGGTGCATCCAGAGGAGAAACTCAGACTCATCATATCATGACAAACAAATCAAAGTATTGACGAAGGAAGCTGCAGGTTTTTTTGCTCTGGAGCAAAGTTTTCTGCTAAATGTGTGTTTCTACAGCGTTAGAAGTTCACAGTGAACGACTCTAAAATGGTTCATGTGCAGATTTTTGGGTTTAACTGCTTTTAACACGGCTTTGAATCGCAGATAAATAGTACAAATAATAACTTACTTTCATCCAGGATTGTAATCTAGAATTAAAACTCATTTAAAAATGCATATTGTACAAACAAAGTTGTATTTTATAACCATATTTAATATTAATAATGCCCAATTGTATTTATTAAATGCATAAATTAATAAAACACCTGCAACAATGAGGGACAGAAAATAAGAAAAGTTTGATTTTCAGGGATTTATTCGAATGTACGACACATTTCAAGGCTAATAAACTGTAGAAAACAGAGAAATTAAACTAAATATATGAAAATCTGTGTCCATCATTAGCAAAAACATGCTTTGTGCTTGCTTGTCAGTTTTTGTTTTTGCTCCAAAACTCTATCAGATTGTAGTTTTTAGCCGTATTTTTGTAGCACTGTTAGTATTTTTACAGTAATTATCACAGCGTGCAGCCAGTTTGAGGTTTAATTTATCATATTTTTGTGTTTTGCAGCTACATTAATGCATAAATGCACGTTTTCATTGCACCAGTTGCTCCGAGGCTGCAGGATTTCTTTAAACTTGCTGACGCTACATTAAATCGTGGCTTCACGCTGAAGGTCAGAAGCTTCGGTCGATGATCACCTCAGCTTGTAGCTCGTAGAGACGATTCTGTGAAGCGTCGACGCTCAACCGCCGAGTTAAACCGCGACCTGATCAAACTAGAATCTCAGATCGGTTTTAATTTCAGCGCGTTTGCGGCCGTAGGACGTACTAACGAGATAACTGCAGCCCGTTAGCAGCTCGGTGAGGAGTTAATGAGTTTAATGAGTGGACGGAACAGGTTTTATTTTTGGGAAACTGCTGCTCGGCTAACAGAGTCTTCACAGCCACGACCCATCATCGGCTCCGTTGGACATACATCTCAAACATTCGGGCTTATTTTTGGCTGCACATCTGATCCATTTGTTTCTTCAGCAGTAACTCACGGCAGAGATCGATCCGTTCGCTAAACCTCTGACGTGACATCGCTCGGATAGCTCGATGCCATAAATCCGGAGCGCCACCTGGCTCCGGCTGATCCGATCACATTTGTCATCGATGGGAAACTTTCAGAGATGCTGATCCAGAGGTCCTGACCGATAGTGGCTCAGGAGCCCAGCTATTGTCTCAACCAGTGATTCGATTAGCTGCAGCTCGGTTACGCAACACGTGGAAGGTCAGGAGTAAAAATACGTCCTGGATGTGTTTTGCGTTAAGCTGAGCGTCTTAGCTGCTCACGCCCTCCTGCAGCTTCACCGAACGCAGACCCCACGACACATGTTCTGGTGGTTCTGATGAGATGTCACGCCGAGGGTTCCAAGACAGGTGGGCAGGAACCGGTTTGTTCTGCTCGTTCCTGCCAGATGCATGATGGGACGCAGCGAACGTGAGTGATCTGAGCTCAAATTTCTGCGTAACTTGATTAAAAACGAAATTCAAGTTGGATTAATGTAATGATAACTTTATTTTGGTTCACTCTGAGTTCAGGTTTCTCCCCAACAGCTGGATAATTTAATCTTGTCAATAAAAACGCTCTGATTCTGATCCTATGAACTCATTTTACTGCGTTGGTTGAACATAATTTCAGCAGAAGTTGTCTGAACTTAAAAAGGTCGATGCGATCGGTATGTTTTCTCTGGTGCACGTCCATGAAGGAACCTTCAGAAAACAGCAGGAACACCTTTAACCTCCTGAGAATGTTTATTGGCAACATAAAACTGGAGCTGATGAGATTTCGAGCTGCAGCTTCAGACACAAGTTATATGATGGACTTGGATGAAGCTGCGGATCTCGTTTCTGTCGATGCGTAGATTTATTTTTGTTTGTTTGCTTGTTTGTCAGGCTGCAGCAGCTCAGGACCTGGACGAGCTGTGCTTCCTGTCGGCCCAGTCGATGCCCAGCCTCAAGGTGTCGCAGCACTTCCAGGTGCTGAAGCTGCTGGGCGAGGGCTCCTACGGGAAGGTGATGCTGGCCGTCCACAGGAAGAGAGGTGAGCGCCAAGGCCCGAAGGCCCGAAGGCCCGAAGGCCAGAGGCGAGCCTTAAGGCCGGAGGTCGGCCGCTGGGAGCCTCCTGCTGGTTTAACTGGGAGTTCTGGTTACGCGTTTGCATTCCCGTCGCAGCACATTTATCTGGGCTCGGGTTCCTCGCTAATGAAGAAGCTAGACATGTGGCGTCGGATGTTGTTTTATTGTGTAACCTCGCGCTCTTGTGCTGCTCAGCGTAGAGTTCTTCGTACATTCTCCGGGATAAAGTTGCTGAAGTGAAACGGAGTCGTCCCGAAGGGGAAGTTATATTTGTTCACAGTGTCAGTGACGTTCCTGCTGCCGGAGCAGCATCTTTAAAAAACAGGAGAATCATTTTAAATGTCTTTTTAAAAAAATTTTATTTTATTTTATTTTTTACAAATTACGGATTTTTACTCTTTTGGTAAATTACAGATAATAATTAGTAAAAATATAAATTTTCACATCAAAAATCAGTAAAAAAAAATAATAATTCATTTGTTCTTTTACATTTAATTGTAAAATAAAATTTGTTTTGCTGCATTTAAATTACCTAAAACAAAAACCCCAAAACATTAAGAGTATTTGTCATTACTTGAAAAAATAAATTGAGTTTTGTTAAATTACAGATCATGATGCAGACTATTAAAAAAGAAAAATGGAAGAAAAAAAAAGGAGGCCAGAATTGTTATTAGAAAAATCTGCATTTATGCAAATAGTAATTCATTGTTTTTACAGTGTGTGACTGTAAAATTACTTCTTCTTTTTTTTTTTTGCGTAATTGCATCACCTAAAAATATAGTTTTTCATGATATTTGCCATTTTGTAAATAAAAATTAAATACATTAAGGATTAAAAAATGGAAAATATTTTTCTCCTATTTTTTAAAAAAATGTTTGATTACAGATATTTATTGAAATCCTCGTGAAAATAAAGATTAATTAACATGCCGACTGTAAAAAACTGAAATAGTTTCCACATTGAAAATCTGTATGTTTGTAAAACGTGTCACCATCGAACTGCACCGTTTTACTGTATTTAAATGATATAAAACATAATTATTTTACAGATATTTGCTGTTATTTTTACTTTTTTTAAATTTCACAGTACTCCAGTGTTTCCTGACACACTTGCTGCCAGATTTCCACAATTTTTTACAATTTTTTTTTTACCTGTGTGATTAGATTTTGTCGTATTTAATGCACTAAATTCACATCTGTCACTTAGAAGCTGACAGTTTTCTTTTTATCTCTGGACAGCAGTATATATTAATGTCTATATGTTCTGTCTTTCCTCCTGTTTTTTTTCTGTCCCTCCAGGAACCCCGATGGCCCTGAAGTTCTTCCCCCGTCAGTCCACCTCTCTGACCTCCTTCCTCCGTGAATACAACCTCTCGCTGTCCTACTGCACTCACCCCTCTCTGACCCGAGCCCTCGGCATCTTCTTCTCCACGCCGACCTACTACGTGTTCGCTCAGCAGGCCGGACTCTACGGAGACCTGTACAGCGTCATCGTGTCCGAGGTCAGCCGCTCACAGACGTTATATCGATTTAAAACTCAACGTACACGTCTGAACCAAAACCACAACAAACCTGCAACTTTAAGCGCTTCGGCTGCAAAAAGAAAAACTCCTAAAAACATTTCCTGTGAACGTAATCAAGACGATAAAACAGAACATCGTCTTGGGTCGGCAGCAGTTTTATTAGAATTAGAAGCTTTAAGGTCAACATGCAAAAACAGTAAAACTGAGACATTCTCATCCAAACTTGGACAGATTTTCCCTTTGACAGCAGCTTATTGGTGCAAACTTTGGGTTTCCTGCCTGTCAGACTGTGTGATCTTTGGCCTTGTGAGTGGATGGTGCGACTAAAACCTAATCTCTCAGAATATGTTTAGCTCCAAAAAACACAAACAACCAGAAAAAAAAATAACACAACACAAAATAAATGCAGTAAATTCTGTATTAAACTTCATATTTTAGCCTGTTGAAGGTGTTTTTTAAAAGACTTTGTGCATATTTCCTGTATATTTTTGCTATATTTTGATAAAAACGCTGAGAAATATGTATGTAAGGTCATTATAACTCTTTGAAAACAACAGACCCAACGCTGGACCAGGACTTCTACACACTACTGTCCAGTAAGATATGATTTATGTTCAGATAAATGCTGTTTTTGTGGAACTTTTGCAGGACTATAGGCAGATCATGCTCTTAGAAACGCTCTCAGAAGGGAATCCAGACTTTTTTCCAGCTCTTACTCCTGAGTGCTGGACAGCAGCGTCCAGATCAGCTGCTCCGGTGCGTTTGTGGTTCTGCCAGTAACATAATAGAACCACGATAAGGACGAGGGCGTCCGTGTTCTGAACCCAGACAACCTGACGGGAAGCAGCAGTTTCTACATTCGGCCAGTCAGGAGTCTTGCTTTGCCAGATTATTGTGGCTGCACCTCCCCAGCAGGCTGCCGGTTTGTGTTTCTTTAAACCTTCGTCTCTACATTTTGTCCAGAATGACTCAGTCTGAGCTGAACAAAAAAAGTCTGAGACAAGATTAAAAATGTCCAAAATCCTCAAAAGCTGTTCCTCAAAACAAAACTAATTCAGTCTCAAAACTCGAAACTTGTCCAAAATATGTTAAAATGAGATAAAATGTGTCCCCATTTACTGAAATTTTGTCCAAAAAGTCCAAAACAAACAAACAAAACAAACGAAATTATTTTAGTCCGAAAACCCGTCAAAATACATCAAAAAACTTTGTCCAAAGTGACTCAGAATTTGCTTAATGCTCGTCTAAAATGTCTTAAAATAGAGTCAAAACAAGTCCAGAATTACTCAAACCGTCTCCTAAATGTCTCTAAATTGATCCAGATGACCAGAACTTAGTCCAGATTTGGACTCAAATGGTCCAGACTAATTAAACATTTATCCAAAAAGAAGTTCAAGTGACCAAAAGAGCAGGACGACCACTGTGTCCTGACAGTGACTCCACCAGATGCTGTAAATGATAAAGTGTGTGTTCTGTGGTTCTGGTCCAGGTCGGGGTGGACGAGGACTGTGTCCAGAGGGTGATGTCCCAGCTGAGTGGCGCCGTCACTCACCTCCACTCGCTGGGCTTCGTCCACCGGGACATCAAACCCGAGAACATCTTCCTGTGCGACGCCGCCTGCCGCTGGGTCAAGCTGGGCGACTTCGGCCTGGCCCGGGCCGTCGGCACCACAGTGCGGGCCGTCTGGTACGAGTCACCCTTCTGCACCCCGGAGGTGGAGCTCGCCAAGGAGACGGAGAAGGTGCCGGAGGAGGAGGAGGAGGAGGAGGAGGTGGAGGACATCTGGATCACAGTGGAGCCCTGCATCGACAGCTGGGCTCTCGGGGTTCTGGTCTATTGCCTGCTGACCGGGTGCTTCCCCTGGGAGGAGAGCACCCACCACGACCGAGGGTACCGCAGATACGAGGACTGGTTCTACCGGGAGCAGGAGCAGAACCCGGGGGACGACGAGGACGCCGACGGGTTGGCCGTCATGGAGAGGAACCGGAGGAACAACCCTCCTCCCTCCCAGTTCGAAGGCCTCAGCCCGCTGGTCCTGACTCTGCTGAAGGAGCTCCTCCACCCAGAACCCAAACACAGAGGGAGTCCGGAGGAGGTTCTGAGCTACCTGGGAGGCCCGTGGCTGATGGAGACGGAGCTGGAGGAGAGGAGGAGGGCCGAGGAGGCCGAGAAGGAGGCCACGAAGATCAGAGAGAGGGCCGGCGTGGAGGAGGAGCTGCTGAGGGAGGGACGAGGAGAAAGATGAGCTGCTCCAGCACAGCTCTCAGATGTTCTGTATAAATGTAGATGTGACTTCAGTTGATTCACTGTAAGGTGCTGATTTTTCATATTTTTCTAAAGTTCCTCAAGTTTCCATTTCTATTGTTGTACATATTTCTGAGTGTGTGTGTCTTAATTTATGAAACAGAACCAGGAAGTTTTGGTTGTGTTTCATAACGCAGATAAAGTCTGGATTGAACTGGTCTGAATAAAACATTGTGTCTACGTTAACGTCTGGTGGTGCCGCTACACAAGAACAAGAAAACAAGATATAAACACACACATCACACTTTCCCTCCATTTTTATTCTTGTTTTAAACCCACGTGTGTCTTTTAAATGTGAAATTCACAACCTGTAGTGGAACAGAACCGAACAGAACAGAACAGAACAGAACAGAACAGAACAGCAGAGAGTGGACGGTAAAGCCTGAATGTCCAAAATGATCTGAAATGTATTCAAAATGAGCGAAACAAGAGCCAAACAGGTCTTCAGCTGTCCAAAATTCATCATGATTTGTACAAAATGACACTAAATGTGTCTGAAGTGAGTTAAAATGGATTTAATTTGTTCAAAACTCGTCCAAAATTCCTCCAATTTAGTCCAAAACGACTTGAAACTTGTCCACATTTCTTTAAAGTGACTCAAAATTGATCCAAAAAGAGTTTAAATGGTCAAAAATTACGACAAATTTGTCTAAAACGACTCGAGACTCGTCCAAAATGACACTAAATGTGTCTGACGTGAGTTAAAATGGATTTAATTTGTTCAAAACTTGTCCAGAATTCCTCCAATTTAGTCCAAAACGACTTGAAACTTGTCCACATTTCTTTAAAGTGACTCAAAAGTGATCCAAAAAGAGTTTAAATGGTCAAAAATTACTACAAATTTGTCTAAAACGACTCGAGACTCGTCCAAAATGACACTAAATGTGTCTGACGTGAGTTAAAAATGGATGAAAAGATTTAATTTGTTCAAAACTTGCCCAGAATTCCTCAAATTTAGTCCAAAATGACTCCAATCGCATCTAGAAATAGTTTAAAAGGTAGAAAATGTCTCAAATTTTGTCTAAATCGACTCAAACTGTCCAAAATTTTTCAAAAATTTGTCCAAATGAGATGTAAAATTTCCCAAATTTGCTCTAAAATAACTCAAAACTTGTGCAAAGTGAATCCAAATCCATCCAAGTTTCTTTAGAGTGACTCAGAATTGATCCAAAAAGAGTTGAAACGGTTTAAAATCACTTCAGGTTTGTCCAGAGTCTCAGTCATGAAGGAGCTTTTGCAGCATTGACTTCCTGCTGAGGAGCCTGAATGTTAATCTGGGAAACCTGAACGGGTCGTTTGTAATGTGACATCGGAGCGAGTACTCTACTGTAGGGGTAATCTGATTACTGTGGGGAGGCCTCGGCTGTATGAGACGGTGTCATGAGAACACACACCTGTGGGAATCAGGGACATCTTTGACGTGGGGAAGCAACAGCTGCTGCAGAAATGCATCTAAATTAGGAGCGAACAATACAAGCCGCTGATCTTCCTCCGAGCGGCTGTGATGTGAGTCCTGCACATCAAGACCCTCCATCTGATTTACTGTGGAAACGCATCGCCACCTCGCTGCACGTGATTCACGGAGCCGCTGACAGAAACAAACGCTGCAGCAGGTTGGACTCGACCGTCACCAGAGTCACCTGCATTCCTCTCGCTGGACGTTTGCTTTGGCGCCGCACAATCAAACCGTAGAGGAGCTTTACTTTAATCGGCCCCGTAGAGTTAAAGCCGCTCTCGACTTGCACCGTGCAATGTGCAGGATATCAGGGTTTCAGTCTGGACCGGGTCCCTGTTGGTAGCGAGCCGCTAATGCGCCGCTGTGTGGGTCGGTGCTAACCCCTGCCGAGGGCCACTCCACATGCAGTTATAAATAGACGGAGGCCCATCCATTCAGGCAGCCTGCACATCATCACCTCCCCGCGATGGCTGCACTGCACAGGCCTCCCAAGGCAGCAGTCGGCCTTGGCGCCCGCAGACCTGCAGCAGCACAATCTGCTGGAACACCGTGACCCACAAAGTCCAGTTACTGCGTCCCTCCTTTCTCCTGCCCGTCTGTCCTTTCATCTGTTTACTCCTTTTATTCCCTCACACCGTAAACCTCTCGTCTCTCAGCTCACCGCGGCATAAATCAGTTCTTTCTTTTATCAACATCTGAGGAAGAAGTCTGCAGAAGAAGAAGAACGTTCCAGCAGGAGAACCATCCAGAGAACAACATCACACAAGAGGTTCTACACGAGAACAAAGTGGAAAACGGAAAATCCAAAGAATGTCTCAGATGATTCAGTTTGGCCAAAACTCGACCAAAATGTCTCAACATTTGGCCCAAAAGGAGTTAAAACGAGATGAAATGGTGAAAAACTGAAGGTCCAGAATTCCTCAAAATTCATCCAAGATGATTCTAATTTGTCTAAAATGTTCCAGAAAAGTTAATGACTGCAAGTTTGTCTAAAGGCTGCACGGTGGCTCAGTGGTTAGCACCGTGGCCTCACAGCTAGAAGGTCGCTGGTTCACATCCCGGTGAGGACACCCGGGATCTTTCTGCGTGGAGTCTCCATGTTCTCCCCGTGCAGCGTGGGTTCTCTCCGGGTTCTCCGGCTTCCTCCCACAGTCC